CCTTCCCTCTCCCGAACCCTTCCCTCTCCCGAACCCTTCCCTCTCCCCCCGGGGCCCGCCCGTGCAGGTTTTTCCTCGCAGCTGCACTAAAATTTCCCTTTTCCAGCGCTTTTCCAGCCCTCCCCCGCTGCACAAACCTGGGCGAACCCGGGACCCTCATCCCTGGGCGCGGGGGGAGATGCTGGGACCGCGATCCTGCCCCGTGGATCCCGCGGTTATTTCCCAGGGAAATAACCCAAACCACCCCGGTTGCATCCCCTCAGTCCGGGTTTGGCTCCGGAAAACCACAATCCATAGTTTTTTTAACCCGGCTGGCCAACAGGTGACTTTGCACGGTCACATTTTTCGGGAGGGAGAAGCTGCTGCTCGCGCGGGGTTCTGTTCTCTCCATCCCTTCCCTCCGTGGGGACACAGACAGCGTCTTTCTGAGCTGTTTATCACACCCCCGAGGGCTCCTCTGGCTGCCGGTGATAAATTAATGTCCCCGCGTTTGCTGGGAGGGGAGTGGGACCCGCACAAACACTTGCCGGGATGGGCGGAAAAAAAGGGCTCGAACAACGTGTCTGTGAGAGAACAGTTCTCACGACCCCCAAATTCCCGCAGTAAAATGCTAATTGTCCGTATTTTTAACGCTGATAACGATCGGGAAGTTTTCTGGAGCAGCCAGCCAGACTCCAGGCTGCTCGGTTCATCCCGGCTGAGCTGCCAAAGTGTTCCAGACACCTCCAGGAGATGTTATCGGGAGCTTAAATTGTGATGGACAAGGTGAAACTCGTTGACACCTGAGCTGGAAGGCGGGGGGGGGGGGAAATAAAGCTGGAGCCTGACACAACATCTTCTGATGGAATCTGAGACAAAGCAGAGCATCCCGAGGGAGTGCAGTTCCCCGTGTGCTCCCTCATTTACAGCTACATTTAAGGGAAAGACAAAGAACAGATCTGCCTGTTCTCTGGGGAACAAACACACTGTGGGCTCGTCATTACAGCAAAATAAACGTTCCCGAGCCATCTCAGCTGAAACAGCCCGAGAAATTCAACCAAAATTCTCCTTTCTTTACCCTTCAGTGCCAGAGAAATGTTAGATGAAGCAGAATTTTAAGATAATACAGTAAGAGGGAGGACTAATACAGATGTTTCAGTCATTCCAGAGCATTTCCAGCTGTTTAATGTGCATCACTGGGTGGTGTTATGGAGAACACAGTCATTCCCATATCCTGCCTTGCAAGGGGTGCACTGAGTGCTTGGACACCTTCTGGGAGCTGGATTCATTATTAGGCATCCTTTATTAATTATAGGGAATGCTTGGATTAGACATTATATAATTATACATTTTGATTAACCTTTGCCAGAGGCCACAGCTTTTCCCTACACCATAAATCTGAGGGAAAGTAAACTCCTGGTTCTGTCATAAAATTGTGGCCTTTCAGCCTCAGCCCGAGATCCCTCTTTCCCTGGTGCCCAGGGACCCTTAGGAGGTGGGAGCACCCACCTAATCCAGCGCTTGTGACTCCTCAATCCCTCAGAAGAGGCTCCATTTCAGGCAGGGAACAGTTGGGAACGGGGTGGATGCAGAGCTGCTCACACACATCCAGTCCCTCAGAGGCACTGGGGCCTCTCTCCCTCCCTGCACCGGGGGGGATTTGGGAATTGGCGCAGGGAATAGGTGGAGACCTGGGATATTCATCACCCCTGGGTGGGCAGGAGGGTGGAAGGGGAAGAAGAAGAACCTCTGAGACCCCACTGAGAGGTGTGGCATCACCTCAGCCCCACATTGTCCAGGGGGATGGAGGATCTTGGCTCCACTTGCTCCAAGAGGGGTCTGGGCAGGTTCTCCTGCCCGTCCTCTGGGTGCTCCAGACACTTCCCTGCCTCAGGAACCTGCTCCTCCTGCCCAGGGAGCACCTTGGGCCCTTCCAACATGAGTGTCAAGCCGTGTCCTGTGTGTTCCAGGAGCAGGAACCTCCTGGGGAACAGATTTCTCAGCCTCGCCCAACGTTTCCGGGGCATTTTTGGGACAGCACCTGGAAAGCTGAGGGGACTCTGTGGGGTCAACAAGCCCTGTTCCCTCAGCTCCTGGAAACAAAGCTGCCTCCCTGGGGTTCTGAGGGGTCAGGAAATGGGTGCATTTGGGGTCAAACAGTGTGGGAACCCAAAGGGGGGTCCACAATCCCAGAGCTGGGATGCACAGTCCAAACCCCTGCCCTGCTCCCCTGTGCTTGTGCCTTTTTGTTCAGCTGGAAAGGTTGAGTGTGTTCCCTTCACCACCAGAACTCCAGGGGCCTTTCATTGATGGGCATTCCTGCTTCTGTATAATGTTTCCATCCATGGAATTCCCAGAGAAGCAGACGACTGAGTGAGCTGGGAGAGCTGAGCAGCTCCCAGTTGTTGTCAGATCGTAGAATGGGAGAATCATGGAATGCTTTGGGTTGGAAGGGACCTTTAAGGGTCAGATGCCATGGGCAGGGACACCTTCCATATCCCAGGTTGCTCCAAGCCCCGTCCAACCTGGCCTTGGACACTTCCAGGGATCCAGGGGCAGCCACAGCTTCTCTGCCCAACCTGGGCCAGGGCCTCCCCACCCTCCCAGCCAGGAATTCCTTCCCAATATTCCATCTAACTCTGCCCTCTGGCAGTGGGAAGCCATTCCCTGTGTCCTGCCCCTCCAGGCCCTGCTAAAACATGATCTCATACAGGGAATATTCCCAATCTTTGAGGCAGCCCTGCCCCTTGCAATTCCCAGTGACTCCTGGGCTGGGAAGGACTTTGCAGCAGGACCTCTCCCAGTGGGATTCCTACCAGGAATCCCCCTGCCAGAATTGAAACAAGATGATCTTTCAGGTCCCTTCCAAACCATCCTGGGATTCTGTGGCATCCCACTCCAGCTGTCTGGAGAGAACAACACCCAGAAAGTCTGTCCAGCCCCAGCCAGAGCAGCTCCCTCAGGGTATATTTGTGATTCTCCTCGAGTGCTGCAATAAAAAAAGCTCAAATCTGACTTTTCTGAAGTCAAGGTTGAAGTGGCCTCACCTCAGGCTGCCTGAATTCCTAATTGCTGCCCACACAGTCAGAACACCTCTGCCTTTGCCTGGAATTAAATCTGTGTGCTGCAGAGCCTGAGGCCACTGCTCCACACTGGAAAACCCTGGAGCCAGAGCAATCCTGGGAATACAACCCCACCAAATCCATCCTGGCCCTCCTGCTGCCTCTCAGCCCCTCTTTGCTCCCACCTGGCAGGAGCTGCAGTCATGGATTTCACCCTCTCACCCCAAAACTGCTGCTAATCCTCCAGGACAGGAACCAAGAGCTGCCTCAGCCTCTCCCCAACACCCACTGGAGTGGTTTATTCCATATTTCAGATGGGAGACACTCCTTTAAAACCACTCCAGCACCTGTAATTGCTGAGAGATAACCCTGGGAGTGCTCTCAGCCTAATTGCTCTGGATGGCTGTACAGTTGTAATTGTCTGTTTTCCACATCTTTCGGGTAATAATGATCAAACACTGTCTGAAGGGTGAGGACAAGGTGCACTTTGGCAGCTCAGACACACACGTGGGTGGAGGGAGGTTTATTCCAACCTCACAATTCAGGCAAAATTCACATTGATTTTTTTTAAAGCAGTTCAGCACTAATAAGGGAAATAAGATCCTGCAGTTCATTCGCAGGTAAAAAAAAAAATCAAACTTCACTCTAAGAGACAGTTACAGCTTCATGATTGGCCTTAATATTTATAATTATATTATGAGAAGTAGCCATGGAGTGATCCTGGGAATCACAGCTGGGAATGGGGCTCCCAGCCCTGAAAATCTTCATGTCCAGCTGGACTCCCCTCTTCCACACAGCCCACATTAATGCTCATTAGAGGGATCATTAGAGGTGCTCCCCTGCCTCCCTCCCTCCCAGTTTGTGCATGAATGGGTTGCTGCCATTGATCCCAGCCAGGACTGGGAATGTCCAACAGCTCCTGGAGCCCCAGGGGACAGCCAGGCTTTCAATTCTTTGAGGAGATAAACCAGCAGTGCCAGCTCCAGAATGAAGGGTTGGAGTTATTGTCCAAACCCTCACTTTCTGCAGCTGGTCCTGGCAGCCAAACTTCTCCCAGGGGGTGTCTCAGAGCTGAACCAGGAAAGAGGTTTCACAAACACTTGTGTGGTTGGGGTAGAAACTCTTTTGAAGTGTTCAGGCACCTGTTTGTGTTAAGGTTTGGGGTTTGTCCCCTCCCAAACCTCCACGTGTGCTCCAAGGCAAGGTTTTACCAGCAACATCTTCTCCCCTTCCTCCTTCTCTGAACTTAAACTGAGACCAAGGGATGTTGGTGAACACGTCATTTATTCCCTCTGGAATATGGACACGGGCTGGGAGAGCTGGGGGGGTTCACCTGGAGAAGAGAAGGCTCCAGGGAGAGCTGAGAGCCCCTTGCAGGGCCTAAAGGGGCTCCAGGAGAGCTGGAGAGGGACTGGGGACAAGGGATGGAGGGACAGGACACAGGGAATGGCTTCCCACTGCCAGAGGGCAGGGTTAGATGGGATATTGGGAAGGAATTCCTGGCTGGGAGGGTGGGGAGGCCCTGGCCCAGGTTGGGCAGAGAAGCTGTGGCTGCCCCTGGATCCCTGGAAGTGTCCAAGGCCAGGTTGGATGGGGCTTGGAGCAACCTGGGCTGGTGGAAGGTGTCCCTGCCCGTGGCAGGGGGTGGAACAAGATGATCCTTAACTTCCCTTCCAACTCAAACCATTCCATGATTCCATGACTCATTCCATGATCACTAATATATTTATAGGAGGCTGATTTCTTTTATGAAGCACCTCTATTTTTTGAGGCCAAAA